GGGCAAACGATTTTTTCTGCAGGCAAAAAGGTTAAAAAAATTGAAAAAAGTCAACTTTAATGTTTTCGAAAAATTGTAAAATTTTCGAAGATTCCATATTTTTATACCCTTGCAGAGGGTATTATAATTTTGGTCAGAAGTTTGTAACGCAGTGAAGGAGACGTTTCCGACCCCATAAAGTATATATATTCTTGATCAGGATCAATAGGGGAGTCGATATAGCCATGTCCGTCTGTCCGTCTGTCCGTCTGTCCGTCTGTCCGTCTGTTTCAATACCGTTTGCGAGCTCAGTTTAAAAGCTAGCGATCTGAAACTTTCACAATCGTCCTAAAACATGTGTACGCAGATCAAGTTTGAAAATCGCCCCGATCGGACGTCTATATCCTATAGCTCCCATAGGAACAATTGGATATATCTTGCAAGAATTTATGATATTTCGCGCAGTGTAAAAGCTATTGTCATTAATCTTTACAAATCGTATTTTTTATGCATACCTTGATCAGGGTAAAAGCGCGTGACGATCGGACGTCTATATCCTATAGCTCCCATAGGAACAATAGGGTAAAATCGGTTAAAATTTAATGATTTTTAGGATATTTCGCGCAGTGTAAAAGCTATTGACATAAATCTTTCCAAATCTTATTTTTTTATGCGTACCTTGATCAGGGTAAAAGCGCGTGACGATCGGACGTCTATATCCTATAGCTCCCATAGGAACAATAGGGTAAAATCGGTCCAAATTTAATGTTTTTCAGAATATTTCGCGATGTGTAAAAGCTATTGCTGTACATTTTTTCAAATCGTATTTTTTTATGCATTCCTTCATCAAGGTAAAAGCGCGTGCTGATCGGACGTCTATATCCTATAGCTCCCATAGGAACAATAGGGTGAAATCGTTCCAAATTTGATGATTATCAGAATATTTCGCGCAGTGTGTAAGCTACTAACATAAAATTTTCCAATTCTTATTTATTTACGCATATCTTGATTAGGGTAAAAGCGCTTGCCGCTCGGAAGTCTATATCTTAAAGGAGATAGGAAAAATTGTTAAAGGCTGCGAAAGTATCCCTTTTGTATATGACATTTTTGCAGTATAAAAGCAATTGACTTGAAACGATGCAAATCTAGTTTACTTATGTATACCTTATTCCTTTCGCTACTTTTTCACTTTTAGCAATTTCGTCAAAGTCTGCAAGGGTATTAAAACTTCGGCTTGCCGAAGTTAGCTTCCGTCCTCGTTAAAACTAAAGGTGGGCAAAAATGGGCCAATGATTAAGCTATAACTTTATTGAGGTCATTGTTTTGTAATAACTGCAAGGGTATATAAACTTCGGCTTGCCGAAGCTAGCTTCCTTTCTTGTTTTTACTTATGTTATTAACACACAGGGGAAGTAATGTTTAGAACGACTAAAAGTTTTATTTTCTATTGAAAAGGAATTAAAATATTTTTTGTCATATGAAATATAATCTTAGAAAGTTTTTAAATAATTCGAATTTCACAGTTGCAACTTAAGTGGGGGTATGGTATTTAAATTTTTTGTTGCCTTGTTTTTTTTTTAATTTTATTTTGCTGAATGCAGAACATTTGAAGAATATTGCGTTGAAATTTTAGATTGATCCGAAAAAAACTTCCGAAGTTATGGGCAGTTAGCTCGTTTTGTATGCGATTTTTGGGTGTCCAAAACTTTAAAACGCTCTCCTGAAAAGTTGCCATTTCAAAGTCGGTGAACACGATCCTGCAAAATCTGGCGGACGAATCGTTTTGAAATTTTGAACGCAATTTCTGTACCTCAGCCCGCAGATACTGACGTCGTTTTTACTTATTATTTTTCATTTTATAATAATTAATATATCGAATTTTAAGGCTAAAATAACGTTTTTGAAAAATCACGTATTAATAAAAAAAAATCAACGTAGTTACATTTAGAAACAGAAGCCTTTGTCGTTTCTAGGTGAACTAGGTGCTGTTGATATCTAATCACGAATTTATTTGTTTAGTAATTTAGTAATAACGATTGAGATCAGGAGGGAATTAACAAGGGAAAACCATTTACCACAATTGATGTAGGTCAAATACAACACGGCGGCGATCACCAGCAGATAGAACTTCATGACTGATTTGGTTATTCGATACTGAACGAATGTGTTAAATTCAATTACTAATTTTACGGCGATCGAAGAAGCGACGAGCAGTAAAGCTAAGCCAAGACTGACGGCAGTATCCGAACTTCGAATGGGATTTTGAGTTGTCGAGCTTATAGCAAAGATATAAGGGCGATCGACACAAACTGATAAGATGGCCCGAAAAATGTATGGCCAGTGATTCACAGCGTAAAGAGTTGGCTACACTCATAGCAAAATTAACCCAAAATTTTAGAAATTCGCCATAACACTTTTTATACCCTTGCAGAGGGTATTATAATTTCAGTCAAAAGTTTGCAACGCAGTGAAGGAGACATTTCCGACCCTATAAAGTATATATATTCTTGATCAGGATGACCTCCTGAGTTGATATAGCCATGTCCGTCTGTCCGTCTGTCCGTCTGTCCGTCCGTCCGTTTCTACGCAAACTAGTCCCTCAGTTTTAAAGCTATCTGCTCGAAACTTTCCCAAAAGTTGTCTTTCTATTGCAGGTAGTATATAAGTCGGAACGAGCCGGATCGGGCGACTATATCATATAGCTGCCATATAACTGAACGATCGGAAAAGCCATAACTTTGGTGTTTTTAAAGATAAGAAGTTGGGACTTTCTATGGGTTTTATTTTTGGCCAATCAATCCGACATACCGAATTTCATAAGGATCGGCCGACTATATCTTATAGCTGCCATATAACTGATTGATCGGAAGTGCCATAACTTTGGTGTTTGTAAAGTTAAGAAGTTGGGATTTTCTATGGGTTTTATTTTTGGCCAATCAATCCGACATACCAAATTTCATAAGGATCGGCCGACTATATCTTATAGCTGCCATATAACTGAACGATTGGAAATGCCATAACTTTGGTGTTTTTAAAGTTAGGAAGTTGGGATTTTTTATGAGTATTAAGAATGCATCATATGAATAATATTGGAGAATATAATTTACAGAGTATTCTGCAAGGGTATATCAACTTCGGCTCCGCCCGAAGTTAGCTTTCCTTTCTTGTTTTTTCTAAATCCAAGAAAAGATTTCTATTTTCAAGGAATTTTTTCGCAAAAAAAAAAACAAGTCGCCATAAACTGAACTCGCCCTAAATCCAAGAAAGAATTTCTATAGTTTAGTAAAAATGGTACTTGTTTTTAGAATTTTTTTTCTTAAAATGAGGCATTCCGCCTTAAAATATAATTTACCTTAAAAAATAGAAAAATTTTCTCAAATTAACCTTAAAATAAAGATAACCCTAAAAAATAGAAACGCTTTCTTAAATGTAGTATACTTTCTTAAATATAGAAATATTTTCTAAAAAATAAAAATGAATTAAAAAATATAGAAACATTTTCTATAACAAAGAAAACATATTCTAAAATATCACGCCCTGACCATAAAATTGTTCTAACCCTGTGCGAGTAGCCTAAGGGTTAGAACGTCTGACCAGAAATCTAAGCACCGCAAGTTCAATTTCAACTGCCGTCGGGCCATAAATTTTTCTTTCTTTTTTACACACATGAGAAGTAATGTTTAGAACGACTAAAAGTTGTACCCTTTATTAAAAAGTAATTAAAATCTTTTTGTCATATGAAATATCATCTTAGAAAATGTATTTTAAATATTTCGACTTTCATAGTTGTGACTTAACGAATTTTAAAAAATATTTTAAACTAATATACTTCGCTAACGCCCTATCAAATAGTCGTTGGTTTTGCCATCCGTTCATCGGATGACGTGGGTTCGAATACCACCGACGGACGCATAAAATTATAAGCTTTTTCGGATAAAGATACTTATCGGAGATTACTTGTAAGAACTGTAATAAATTATAATTGTACAGAATTTCCCTCCCTCTCTCCCCTCATAGGATTCTAGTTAAAGTCGATCTTGAGAATTCATTAGTGCAATACTAATACAAACTTTGTGACTTTTCTGAATGAAAAGCGAAGTGCTTAAATCATATACATATGGCGTGCGCTTCTCACTGAACAAAAGATGAAAGCTTAGTACTGAGATCGACGAAAACCGTACGCCAGTCATGAGAGAGAGCGAGAGGCAAACAGCTGGCGTTCACTTTTCGTCGGGCCTTTTTTTCACGTCGGTCTCCTGATCGACGAAAAAAATACCAGAAAATTCCATAGCGTTGCCAGTCTGCGGAAATTAACTTTGGGTTAACCCTAGCGGAAAAGATTAAAAAATTTAATCTTTTGGCGTGCGCTTCTCACTGAACATTATAAGAAATGGAGGGAAAAACTCAAAAAACTCACAAAAGTCGATTGCAGGTGTTTACATGTGAGGACAAAATAACATTAATACTATCTGGGGTGCCTCTTGTCAGAGCAAAATGTTTTTAGGTCTAGAATGTACGAAAAAACACAATAAAAGTGCAGCTATGAACTTTAAATTAGCAAATAATTATCAGTAAATTAAAAAAAACAACTGTTAAATTTAAATTGTATTGTTTTTTTATTTCTTTGTACAGCGGCAGACTTGTCTTGCCAAGGTATTTGATAATATCTCTAAAGGCTCTTTCCCGCAAATACGATATTTGAATTTTAACTGCTTGTCAACAAACCCAGCTGATTGACAGTACGACCATAGCACGCTTAAATCTGATGAACTCTCAAACTTTTGGTCACACTGGAAAGATTAAAGTTTTTACGCTAGCGTAATCGTTTGTCGATCTGGATACTAGGCTTTAAGAACAAAGAGTCTGGCAGCACCAATCAGTTAATTTTTAATTTTGGTAATTTTGTATAGTTTTTAATGTTTTACTTGCATTAAATTTTCACTTATCACACGCATAATACTAGAAAAATCAATAACTTCGGAAAACTAATTTCCCGACAAGCAAAGGCGTTTTAATATTTTCGTTGCAAAACTCAACGGGCACACTGAAAAAAAGTGAAACAAAATTCACGCTATTATTATCAAAACAAAGTGCATTTCTGGATAAAACGGGGACAACAAGACTATGAACGCGACACCATCCACACCTGCCATTCCGGGAACACCTGGAACGCCAGGCAGCCTGGCCATGGAAGTGGCCCGCGTCCAGAATTCGGCGCTGGCCGAGTTCAAGAAGCCCACGGCGATGGTGCGCCCAAAGAACAAACCGAAGATCCTCACGGAGGAGAAGTACATCGAGGAGATGTCCAAGATCATCCAGCGCGACTTCTTCCCAGACCTGGAGCGGCTGCGGGCCCAGAACGACTTCCTGGACGCGGAGTCGCGGCGTGACTTCGTCCAAATGGCCGAGATTCGGGAGCGCTACAGTCTGGGCAGGATTCCCGGGACGGGAAGAAGCTCCAGCCGCAGGAGCAACCAGCGGAACAACGGTGGGTACTGCCCGGGATTGGGTGGAGCATCGGTGGAGCTATCCAAAAACACATTTTCCCACATTTTAGTAAAGGTGTTGGGTACTTTCTTCCTTAACAGCAGGCACTTAATTTTATAGTCACAGAATTCCATCATGAGCACACCATAACTTGCCACAAATGTTATAGTTTATAAATCGGTAATAGGTCAATTTATATGCCTAAAAGTGCAGGGTATGTTTCCCTTTTCTGCAAAGTAATTTTTTTCAAAATTTTAATTTAATTTCTAATTTAAACATAAGTAAAAAAAATCGCAGATAACAAGACCAGATTTGGATGCAGATTTTTAGGGAATAAAACCACAAGACTTTAAATGTAAGGCACTTCAAAATAGGACTTAAATTAGAAAAGTTATGGACTTGGAAGTGCAGGTTTTAGGTCACTTTTCTGCAAAGCCGTTTTTCGGAAATTTGGAAAGGGGTTACCATCATTAAAAATGACGAAAAACCGAAAAAAAATTACTTACCCAGATTTGAATGCAGTTTTTTAGTGTATTAAATCACAAGACTTTAGAGGTATACCACTTCAAAATCGGACTTAAATTAGAAAAGTTATGGACTTGGAAGTGCAGGTTTTAGGTCACTTTTCTGCAAAGCCAGTTTTCGGAAATTTGGAAAGGATTCATCATGAAAAATGACAAAAAACCGAAAAAAAAATAACAAACCAAGATTTGAATGCAGATTTTTAGAGAATTAAACTACAAGACTTTAGAGGTATGTCATTTAGAAATCGGACTTAAATTAGAAAAGTTATATGCTTGGAAGTGCAGGTTTTGGGTCACTTTTCTGAAAAGCCGTTTTTCGGAAATTTGGAAAGGGGTTACATCATTAAAAATGACAAGAAACCGAAAAAAAATTACAAACCAAGATTTGAATGCAGATTTTTAGAGAATTAAACCACAAGACTTTAAAGGTATGCCACTTCAAAATAGGACTTAAATTAGAAAAGTTATGGGTTCGGAAGTGCAGCCTTAGGTCACTTTTCTTAAAGCCATTTTTCGGAAATTTGGAAAGGCGTTACATCATTAAAAACGACAAAAAACCGAACAAAAATTACAAACCAAAATTTGAATGCAGATTTTCAGAGAATTAAACCACAAGACTTTAAAGGTATGCTACTTCAAAATAGGACTTAAATTAAAAAAGTTATGGACTTGGAAGTGCAGGTTTTAGGTCACTTTTCTGCAAAGCCGTTTTTCAAAAATTTGGAAAGGGGTTACATCATTAAAAATGACAAGAAACCGAAAAAAAATTACAAACCAAGATTTGAATGCAGTATTTTAGAGAATTAAACTACAAGACTTTAGAGGTATGTCATTTAAAAATCGGACTTAAATTAGAAAAGTTATATGCTTGGAAGTGCAGGTTTTGGGTCACTTTTCTGAAAAGCCGTTTCTCGGAAATTTGGAAAGGGGTTACATCATTAAAAATGACAAGAAACCGAAAAAAATTACAAACCAAGATTTGAATGCAGATTTTTAGAGAATTAAACCACAAGACTTTAAAGGTATGCCACTTCAAAATATGACTTAAATTAGAAAAGTTATGGGTTCGGAAGTGCAGCCTTAGGTCACTTTTCTGAAAAGCCGTTTTTCGGAAATTGTGAAAGAGGTTAGTTACATCATTAAAAATTACAAAAAACAGAAAAAAAATTACAAACCCAGATTTGAATGCAGATTTTTGGGGAATTAAATTACAAGACTTTAAAGGTATGCCACTTCTTAATAATAACCCATTAATACTTTAACTCTTCTCGTTTCAGCCATGTCCCCGGCCACATTTGAGACGCCAGTCAGCTTGGCCAACGGCAGCAACACTCCGTTGCTTAATTCCCGGGCCACAGACACCCCGTTGTCCAGTGCCGGCTCCGAAAAAAGTGCCGCCGAGGGTGGAGACAACACCTCGAAGCTCTCCCTCGACGCCTTCCTACAGAACTACACCAGCGAGGATAACCAGAGCTTTCAGGAGATCATCGAAACGGCGGAGGCGAAGCTACGCCAGAAATACGCCGTGCTCTACAACCACGAAAAACTATCCGCGGAGCAACTGCAGCGCGCTCTAATGCTGCCCAGCATTGAGAAGCAATTCGAGGAACCGGATCCGCTGAGGAAAATCGAAACCTGGAACTACACCAACATGAACTCTGTTATGTACGTGCCCGATGGCGTGGAGTACACGGAGGAAGAGCGCGTCCAGGCGGCGGAGCGCAAGCAGAGCATCCAGCACAATGCCACCAGGCTGCCGGAAGAAGCCAAACACCGGGACCCGGAGGGTAAAAGGCCGGACGAAGTGCCCGCGAATGGGGCGGGTGAATCCACGGCCACGCCGAGGATACGTGGATTCGATCTGCTGCGTTCACCATCACCGCGACCCGGAGAGGCCTTCTCGCCCATCATGACCTGGGGTGAGATCGACGGCACTCCGTTCCGCCTGGACGGTGGCGACACTCCTTTGCGGCCCACGCAGGGACCCTCGTTCCGGATCAACGAGAACTCCCGGCGCGAGAACATTGCCATCGCGCTGGCCGAGAAGGTCAGCGAGAAGATGCGCAATCAGAAGCAAATGGCCCTGGACACGGCACGTCGGAACATTGGATCCCCACTGATACGCACCAATATGGAACGCCTGGCCAGCATGTCGCCGGCAGCGCAGCTCCTGGCCACGGGGAAGCTAGGTCTCCGGGGAACGCCCAGATTGTCGCACACACCATCACCGCTGAGCGCCAGGAGGCGTAAGATTACGCCCGGAGTTGTGAGGAACACGGGCACGCCACTGGGACCACCGAAACAGCAGTCGGGCAAGATCAGCACTCCCGCCAAGAGCTCCACCATTGATACGGGCTCCACGCTGACGGACGATCTGCTCAAGATACCCACCAAGCGACGCTCGGCTGCCGATTTCTTTTAGCACATAAAGTCTGCCCAGTTCACGTTTAGTTTCATTGTAGTACCTCATAATCTTAAACCTTTATTATTTATGGCATTAAACGTAGCTATAAAACCAAATTAGAGTTTGTTTGCATAGCATCTTAGTGGGAAAAGCAGCTCAAGAAGTTGGTTTAAGTCGAGTATTAACAAGATGAATTGTTTTCATTAATGCTGATAAGAAAATCATGAATGTGAGATCATAAACGTAATTGCATGTTTGTTATCAGTTTGTGTAGAGCAGCAATAATCTATGCCCACGCATTCAATTTTGCCAACCTTTAAATACTCTTTTTTTAGTAGATTTATTATGTACCTTGAAGTTTTGTTTAAAATTACATTTTTTTTTAAATGTCAATTCAGTTTTTTGGTACCCAACGAGGTAAATGTAGTATTTAAAGCCAGTTTCTGAGCCATTCAAGTTATCAAGCTAATCCCATTAACTTATAAACGAAGTCAACTAAAGATAGCATATATGAAAAACCAAGTGAATCACAAATCATTACAGAAGGGGATTTCTTCAAGAGATTAATAGAAACATTCACTATTGCTTATATTTTTAATGTATAAATGCAAAAACCCCATCACCGTACATCGCACATGTGTTAAACCAACTAAAACTGCTCATCCCTGTAGTCCACGTGATCGCCGGACTTGAACTTGAGGGCCTCCAGGACCTTGATGAACCGCTCCGTGGTCTGGGCGGTGGTCAGCATGGTCTTGGCCTCCCTCTGCTCCCGGAACATGGCGGCCACGGCGGGATCGTGGGCCTCCCGCTGGACCTGCACGGTCATCTGGGTGTCTATCACACCGGGCGCATAGTTGAGCACCAGGGTGTCCTTCGAGGACTCCTCGGTGGCCAGCACCCGGAAGTACATCTCTCGGGCTGCCTTCACCGTGCAATAGTGAGCCATCGAGGATATGGGGGCAATGGCAGCCAGGGTGCTGAGATTGACCACCAACTTGGGGATTCCCTGGAAGACCCGCATGAACTCGCAGTTCAGGGCGATGGCGGAGAAGACATTGGTGTGGTAGTATTTCTGCAGGAAGCCCGTATCCCCGATTTCCTTGGCCCTCTTCGAGGTGTCGCCCACGGTGCCGGCATTATGGATGACTATGGCTCGCTCAAAGCTCTTCTGCCCACGAGAACTCTCCAGAATCTGGGTGAAGTCCTCCGCTTTGGCCGTTTCCAGTTCCAAGGAGTAGGTGTGAACGGGCAGATCCGGTATTGCTGCCAGGATCTCTCCCTTGGCCTCCTCCAAAAGGGGCTGATTGCGTCCCAGAAGCGCCACCACGGATCCCTCGGACTTTATCCGCTTCGCCAGCTGCTGGGCGAACTCCCGGCCAATCCCACGGGATGCTCCGGTCACCAGGAGGTATGTGCGCTGCTTTAGGTCCATAATTACAGCGAAAAACTGAGTGAATTACTTTCTATTTTTCTTCTTTTCCAGCAGCAACAGTTGGCTGCCTTTTTTTTGTAACTCGCTTTGGCTTTTACCTGAGTTGCCAGCTTTTACACAGCTGACTAAAGCTCAGTGTTTTGTGCCCTGGAGCGTAAGCAGGAACTACTTTTCAGGGGCCTTCGAAACTATAGTTTTTTTGGGGTTTAGTAAACCCTTACATTTTAAATTGTTTCAAATTTTTCTTATCATGTATAAACTGATACTTAAGAATAAAAGCCTCATTAAGTATTAGTTAAAAGAGTTATACAAAATTTTTGAATTCAAGCGTTTCGTTTTTTACTAAATCAAATATATAAATATTTTAAAATTTGTAAGCACTCTATATTCGAATTCTTATGTTTTGAAAAACCTTATATAACCACATTTCTATAAAAAGAAAAACAGCTTAAAATATTAATGCACTTAACATTTTTAGATCCTTTAGAGGTTTCTATTAAGATAAATCAAATTATTTGTTATAATTAATAATTGTGAATTACAATAATCCGAAATTGTGCTATATTTAAAATATATACTTTTAGGATTTTAGCTAAATTGGGAATGGGAATGTGTGGATACAATATTTTGTGGGGGATTTAAATAGTTCGTAACCCCTTCTATTTCCGCCCCTGTCTTTTCACTCTCAAATCTCACTATTGCTCTCGTTTCTCTCAGGCTTTAAGCTCTACTCAAAGAGGAAAGGTTATCGCCGGCTCTTGCTTAACGATTTAATTTAATTAATTGCCTATATGTTTTATTAATCGCATCGTTAAAGTCGGCATAATGTATCAAAAATTACGGGCTTTATCGTATTACCCAAGTAATGAGGTGGAATGCATGAAATCAACGCGACAAAGTCAATGTCAAGGTCGGCAATCCAAAAAAAATGAGATTGAGATATGTGTAATCTTCTTCAGAAAGCTTCGCAACTTATGTTAATGTTCAAGCATCGTTTAATCATCATTAAAATTTAATTTGTATTTCCCTGACTACATTACACTATAACAACTAAACAGCCCGCTTGGTAAAATTTTGTAAATAAATCATGTTGCCTAACCTAATATAATCTTCACAAGTTTATGACCCAACATTGAAAACATATTGATTAAAGAATCATTGCAACATTGTTCAGAAGTTCAAGTACAACCGATCGTCAACTTCAATATTTATTGCCCTGATTATGAAAGCTTCGCATCATTGTAGGCAACAAATAGCTTTGAAATCATATTTAAAACTTTAATTAGTTTTTCCATTCGTACATCCAAAAAGGAATACCCAAAAGTATGCCTTGAATATGGAATAAAAAATTATTTGCAAAGTAAACTGCAAAATTTGTTTGAAACTATTCATTTGATGCTCGTAGACTAACAGAGAACAAAAAAAATAAAAACCAGTAGAAGTATGGAAAATTTAATTTTCTAAAAAATTAAAGAATCAACATTTTGTTAAAAAATATTTCATATTGCCATACCAGGAAATAGCCAAAATAAACCCTAATTTAATTCAAGATTTACCAGTACATATATATTTACTTAAAATAATATATTTAAGTATATTATAATATATTTAAGTATATTATAATATATTTAAGTATATTATAATATATTTAAGTATATTATAATATATTTAAGTACATTATAATATATTTAAGTATATTATAATATATTTAAGTATATTATAATATATTTATGTATATTATTTTAAGTAAATATGTATGTAATAGTGAAATCCCGGATCCAGAGGGAGGCCATTTGGAATACTTTCCCGATTCCGATTCCGACCCGGCAACACCGCAATTCCTTATATACGAACACGTGTCTTCCGTAGAATTCGATCAGTGGATTCCCTTATCGCTAAGGCAGCGGGGTCTCTCAAATTGTTTTGAAATTATTAACGTGAACCGTACTATATATGTGCATATGTATGTTATGCGTATTATATATGAGAATGAATATATATATTCATATTCCCAATGCTGATTCATACCCACGACAAAAGTTCAGGAAGGAATACTCGGGTTATTGATCTTGAAATTAGATCTACATACTACGCATACAGAGTGCAAAACACTATTTATGTGATGTGGGAATAATATTAAAAAACTTGAAAATATGTACATTTTGTTTGCTGGATATTTAAAAACATGAAAGCAAGTTATTGTGGCGGAATATCCCATAAACTTTTAGCACATTTAAATGAAAATGTTAGAAATAATTCGATAAAAATTTACAAAAATTACTTTAACAGGGTATTGGAAACTTTGAAGCATTCTCAATTTCAAATATAATTTACAGAAAAAATATATATAAAGATTGTTTTATATTAAAAAGCCATTTCAATTGAAAATAAAAGGGGTCGATTTTATACAGATTTTATAAAAAACTAACTTTTTAAGACTTAAGAAACAAAGTGTTTCTGAACAAGAAAGGAAAGCTAACTTCGGGCGGAGCCGAAGTTGAAATACCCTTGCAGAATATTCTGCAAATTATATTCCCCAAAATTATTCATATGATGCATTCTTAATACTCATAAAAAATACCAACTTCCTAACTTTAAAAACACCAAAGTTATGGCATTTTCAATCGTTCAGTTATGTATATGGCAGCTATAGAATATAGTCGGCCGATCCTTATGAAATTTGGTAGGTCGGATTAATTGGCCAAATATAAAACCCATAGAAAATCCCAACTTCCCAACTTTACAAACACCAAAGTTATGGCATTTCCGATCAATCAGTTATATAGCAGCTATAGGATATAGCCGGCCGATCCTTATGAAATTTGGTATGTCGGATTGATTGGCCAAATATAATACCCATAGAGAGTCCCAACTTCCTAACTTAACAAACAGCAGAGTTATGGCATTTCCGATCAATCAGTTATATGGCAGCTATAGGATATAGTCGGCCGATCCCGGCCGTTCCGACTTATATACTGCGTGCAAAGGAAAGAAGGGTGTGTGCAAAGTTTCAATTCGATATCTTTAAAACTGAGAGACTAGTTCGCGTAGAAACAGACAGACGGACAGACAGACGGACAGACGGACAGACGGACAGACGGACAGACGGACATGGCTATATCAACTCAGGAGGTGATCCTGATCAAGAATATATATACTTTATAGGGTCGGAGATGTCTCCTTCACTGCGTTGCACACTTTTGACCAAAATTATAATACCCTCTGCAAGGGTATAAAAATTGTTGTTTTAAAGCCTCCTTTTGTCCTAAATTAAGACGTTAAATAAATCAGAAAAAAATTTCTAAGATCCCTATTATAAAATAGAAAAAAATCCAGAATGAATAGAACCTCCCCAACCATAGCACCAAAATGAAAATATAGTTTGTGTTTCGTTTTCCTGTTCGTGTGCTTGCTTTTCGTGCACCTCCAGGTTTAAATTCAGGGTCGTCAGCCAGAGTTTATTAGTTTCCAAGGCAATCAAATCAAAAACAGCGTCCAAATCGTGAGCCAAGTCCAGAACCGAGTCCATCAGGGACGCAGCCCACCGCCACGATGCTACTCATAAAACGAAGGTGTCGTAGTAGTCGACGTCATGGCCGGAAACGAAGGAGATCTCCTCGAGGATGTTGATCAGCTTGCGGGTGGCCTGGCCTGGCTGGATCCTGGGCAGCTGGAGCCACTTCTTCGAGGCGACCAGGTCGGCGGGAGTGATCTGGTTGCCGTTCTCGTCGCACTGTCCCTGGTGGGTTGCCATCAGGCCGGGTGAGAAGCTGAGCACGTGAACTCCGAAGCGATGCTCCTCGGCGGCCATGGCCCGGAAGTACATGTCCCTGGCCCGCTTGCAGGAGCAGAGCAGTCCCGCATGGACCAGTGGACGCACCATCAGCGAGGAGGTCACATTCACCGCCAGTTTCTCCACCTTCTCCAAATACTTCGACTGCAGCCACCTCTGGCTGAGGGCCACCGGTGCGTACAGTTGCTGCTGCACATAGCTCTTCCAATCCTCGGTGCTCTGGGGTTCCAAGAGCACATGGGTGGCCGCCAGGCCCTCGTTGTGCAGGATTATGGATCGCTCGAATCGGTTGTCCCCATCCACTTTGAAATGCTGCTTCAGGGCCTGCTCCATTAGCTGCACCCCATTGGAGTGGTTCTCGTTCAACTTGCCGGTCTTCACTTTGATGGTCTCCGTCTTCAGCTCGCGCTGGAGGAGATCCCCCAGTTCCCGCAGCTGCTCCTGATCCTCGTCCAGGATCAGGGCCAGGGATCCGGTGGCCAGGCGCCGGCAAAACTCCAGGGCCAGGGATTGACCCAAAGGATTCGAGCTGCCGCTCAGCACCAAAAAGGTGCGCTTATTTAAGTCCATTCTCTTGGCGGCCATTATTTTTAAAGGATCTAGGGGATCTCTGGATTATGCGCGACTGAAGAACTTCACACTTGCGATCACTTGGAGCTGTACGACTGTACTGTTGCCGAAATTTCAACGGGCTTCGCCAGCTGGACTCTGTTTCGCCTGATAAGCTGTCTTCCGATTGGCCAAGTATATATTTACTCGGCTGAGCAACCTGGGTTCCGATTCCGTATATAGATGCGCTCTGAGTTGTTGGGGATGTCAGCGTGGGGCTTTTATACAACCCAACCAGCTGATAAGCCCGGGATCAGACGTCTGGGCCTGTTGCCGAGCCATTAACTATTGTAATGGGTTTTCGCCAAATCAAACCAGACCCACGTCGGCTAACCTCTGGAGCGGAATGGAATGGAATCGAGTGGAGTGGAGTCCCAGTATTACGCATCGGGGGCGAATCTGTTAAATATCATCGAGGTATTATTTTACAAACATTATTTAAATGCTCCATTTCATAGAATTTAATTTACACATTTATATAGGACATAGAACAAAAACAGGTTTGAAACATTTCAAAAGTGAAACGATTTAAATAAATGTATTTTAACTTATTATTTTAAAAACATTTTGTTTAACTCATTAAAATGTTGTTATCCTGTCTGCACCAAAAACATTGAACTTTAGAGCTTAGTATGTAGAAATAGTTTACTATTATAGTTAGCTTAATATTTTAATGAAATTTCCTATGAAAACATAAGAATGAGAATATATATATATATTTGGAAATTTTCCCAAGCCCCTCCTGAGTTTGCCACTGTTTCCCATGAGCCGAAAAGCTGATCGATCGTCATCTTAAGATTCGGAAAGTTCTTCTGATATGACGGTTGGTCAAGGTTGCAAAGATTTTTGTAAACAAATGAGTTGGCAACTAAAAACAGACAGATTAGGGCAACATTATAAGACAATATAGACAATATTCAATTTGAATGATATCATTATCCTTGTGAATATTTCACTCGATAAAATATTTCGGAAGACATTTTTTAAGAATCATTGATTTGAATATATCAGATTTAGTTGGTCTTCACAACTACTTTCGTTATGTTTTCTATTTAATTAATATAGATTAATAATAGATTTTGTATTTTAAATGCTAAAATATTAAGCATAACTGTATAAATATATACTTTAATAAATTCTATAAAACGTGTAATGCATATAATAAACAGGTAAGGTTATCGGACTCATTCAGTGAACTTCCATAGGCAAATTAATTAGCTATTTCATAATATAACTTTCGTAATCAGTAATATTGTTTTAAATGTTTATAATATTCCGATGAGTGGCCTATGGATTAGTGTTACACGTGTGATTTCGGTGAAAAGTCGTAATTAAACATCAGTTAAATCGCATGCCTAAAGATACTGCCAAAAACGTGTTTATTTTGATGTGGCGTGGGTTTTTTTTGTGAGGAATGTGCTTCTGATTATTCCGATATGCACAAATACCGGCTGTTTTCGATCAGAAAGGAAGTGCTTTACAATCTGCCATCGAAATTCTGCGTTTTTTCCCATTTTATTTTTTGTTATGACTAAAAATTCGCGCCAATAACAAGCGCAAATTAGGTTAATGGCCTAATTTTTTATTCTGGGAAGTCTGCTCCCGATTCCCGGGTCGCTTCGAGATGACGCTGACCCATTTAGAAATCGGGAGCGGCACGCACTTATAATCGCAGTTTTATTATCACAGTTCCAATTACCTACATTTCTGGAACAAGAATTAACACTGACTTGAAGTAGTGTGTATAAAATTTACAATTTATGTTTGCATATATGAATTCTTAATGATCAAATTGAACCCGTAAACAAAATCCTAAGTATTAGCATAAGTACAAATTACCTAAAAATAAAGCGTAATTTCTTTAAAAATTAATCTTTAATTTTCATTTTTCAGAAATATGGTATAAGCCATAAAGAAACAATAGAATATTCTGGGCAATATATACAAATATTCCGCATCATTAATTTAACATTTAGGGGTCGAGATCTTGATAACTGCAGTCTTGAATGACTGGAATATTTTGGGTTCAAGAAGTTCGTATTATTCTACCTTTGTACCTTTGTACTTCATTGTTAACTCTCGCCATCGTATCGGCAAAAGTTCGTGGAATTCAGCAGCGGGAATAGCATCACATCGGTCTGTTTATGTCGATTTAGGGGTATTATCAATACCGAGCGGGGTTTTCATGCCGAAGCACGTAGCAGCGCAGCTTTAGTGGGCGGGATGGTGACTTCAGGGAAAGTTTTCTTTGACCAGGCTACACCTGAACCCGACCCTGTCCTCCAGTCAAGGTCGTTCGACGAGAAAGTGACCCCAAGATCCCAAGAAGATTTCATTTAGCGCGAATAAAGAGCAATGATTTCATTCACCTCCAACTGAAATCGAGAGCAACAGCTGCAAAAAACTAATGCATGGTTTTCTGAGCACAGCTTTTGGAGATCTTCTCGGTTTTATCACGGTTATATAAGCCGTGTGGACCGCTCCCACAGTCAGTCCAAACTTTTAACGAGCCAAGAACAGAGTAGTGAGCCACAGATCCGATAAGAACATCAACACAATGCTAGCCTGCAAGCTTCTTCTCTCTTTGGTGATGGGAATGCACTGCATTCAACTGGTAAGACAGAGAAAATTTGGATATGTATTCAGTAAAAGTGCAATTGCTTTGGTGGAAAAAACATTTCGTGTGATAAATAATTCCCCGATTAAAAAAGGACCAAGAACGCTGTATAATAGGTTTATCAACACTGTTTAATAGTGACTAGAAACAATACTGGAAGCTTACTAATGAGTTAATCAACACTGTGTAATAAAGTGGCTAGAAAGGATAATGGAAAGCTTCTAAGAATACCTTTAAATTAAATATAAAACCAATTTCGAAAATATCAATATGTATCCTATAAGCAAATTGGCAAATGAATTGCCATTAAAATTTGTAAAGTTAATATACACGTATTTCTAAACTCTAATGCCAAAAATCCTGGTCGAACTTTTTAAACTACAAATTATTGGAATTCCTGTGTAGGGATGAAGAGATTGACTTACTATAGTTAGATTTAAGTTAGAAAATATAAAAAAAGACAACTTTTAGTTAGAAAAGGTCAACGAAACTTATGGAAACTCCAATTTGTAACATTTTCCCCTTGATCTTACAGCTAATGGCGGCCTGCGTGTGCTCCGAGAAGGGAACGGACTACTGCCAGAGCTGCCAGGGATCCACGGTGATCCGGCCGAAGCCCCGATACTACGAGCCCAGTGACGTGAACCTCTCGCCGATCGGGGACAACTGCTGGTGCAGCAAGCAGCTGATCGAGCCGGCCCAAGTGCCCAAGACCTGCGGAAAAGTACGTGAGCTGTTCCAGTACATGAGCGCCTTCAACAACCTCTTGGGCCGTCGGATGCTCGAGGGCGCCATCGAGGCCAAGACGCTGGCGGCACAGCGTCTGGCCGAGCGGCTGCAGCGTCTGGAGCGGATCGACTGCTTCAAGAGGGGCCCCTCGGGCCATCGCTATCAGCTCTAACCACCCATGACTAATCCGCAAGAAACGACCATACCCACATCCACATAACCAGTAACGCCCACCCAGTTTACACTCATTCTTACCATAACTAAAGCCTTAGTTTTTTGCTTGATTTACACAGATCCAAACATTACTTAAATATTTATTTTTTAAAATCATATTTAGAATGCCCAATGTTATTTTTCCTTTGATATCTTGAATGATTGATTAAGGGATTTTTCTTATCAATCTTATTTTTAATATTGCATAGAAAAACACTATGCTTATTGTATTTGTAGATTACTTAAAAGACCTCGTTAAGCATTGAAGCTCAATTTCGATCTTAAATTATTTTGCAAGTTCTTAAAGTTTTAATAGATTTAAGATCGAAACTGCCTGGTTCAAAATATATACAATTTGTATTATTTAATATGCTTCTATTATTAAGTTAAAGCAAACCTAAAGCAAGTTTATGCTTGACTCAAACAATTCTGTAACTTTTTTTACCATGTTATCTAAGCTAATCGAAGGTAGGTAGGGTAACCCCTACCTGAACGTAACATAATCTATCATAAGTGAACGTATCATAAGAAGTAGCATTAGTTTCGACAGTTGTAATCAGCACCCAGTGGCAGTGGCACTCATCCATCGTCATCCCCCTCAGCTGCAGTAACAATTTCCGCATCTGGCGGCACTATCACCGCCCCAACTTTGCGTCACCATCAGCCCACAGCATCGTCATCCACATTTGTATACCTCATATGCCTCATATATCGCCGCGTACGTGCTCCAAAAAACCAGAGCTATGCGGAGCGATAGAACCCATTTAGATACCTCCCAACGATATGCGAATCCGAAACCGAAACTGAAACTGAACTCTCGATTTGATCACTCCACACAGACCACGCCGTGCAAGCCCACCTGCTCGTGCCAGCAGGGCTCATCCTCATCCTCTGACAGCAGCTACGCCTCCTCCGACAGCTCCGGATCCGTCTACGGAAAGTAAGTTGACAAAATCCCCTAAATAACATACTATAGCCACTTAAGCTTATACTGAAGTATATAGTGTTAAACTACACAAATTGGTACCAAATAGCGTGTTCAGTTTTAAAGTGGTTTAGTTATCATAAAACATTAACTAATGGGTTCAGATTAAAAAAAACCTATTTAGGTAAATTAAAAATATATATCAAATTTTGATTTAATAAAATTTTGTTTTAAATTTACCAAAAATTACCAAATGTACTAGAACAAAAAACATTTCAATAGAGCAGAAGATAAATAGGTCGAATTATAACATAACCGACAAAATTTACAAAACAAGATGATTAAAAAACTGAACTATTCAACATTTATAAGTTTTTACAGAATTTAGCAAATGTGTATTTCAATTACACTTAAGTTTCATAGGCTAATATATTATTTATATATATATTATTTATTAACTTCATCGAAAGCTTTCAAAAGCCCATATATTTTAGTAAATCCATCAAAATCATAAAAATCAAACAGTTCTATCGATTCAGAACCTTTTAACATAAACATTAATCGCATCCTAATCCATTCCAGAATCGACTATGCGGCGGAGAAGACGGCGGACAACAGTCCGGCCGCGGATCCCATCAGCGTGAGTCTGGCCGCCCAGGCCGGAAAGGCCATCAATGTGCCCGAGGCGAAGTTGGCCTACGGATTTGCCCAGAAACCGGTGGATGGTGAGAAGAAGGTGGTCTTCTCCAACGTGCCCGAGGAGAATCTCTTCAAGCTGAAGAGCGAGGTGATCACGCTGAAGAAGCGCAACTTTGTGGCCAAGCAGGAGGAGGAGGAGGAGTACGCCGAGGAGGAGCAGGAACAGGAGCAGTCCTCCGACGATGAGGAGGCGCCGCAGCTCACCTACAAGCAGCTGGGCTACATCACCGAGCAGTACAAGAACCCCAAGTTTAGGAGGATCAGCAGCTCCAGCTCCAGCTCCAGTTACTCCAAGGACTACAGCGATGGCTACGGCAAGGTGGCCGGCAAGGTGTCCGTGGACTGTGGCTTCAAGCCAGGCAGGATCACCTCGTACCGGAAGGCCAAACGCGAGGAGTCCGAGGACGGCTACTACTAAACAGATCCCATCTAACACCGATCCTTCCGTTTGTACATATTATATACGCTAAGGAGTGATTGGATGTCTGTCTAAGTTAGGTTTAGAAATACATATTTATACAAAGTGCAAAATCAAGTTTATTTTTTAATCAAGGTGCAAATAGCCGTGGGAAAACGTAAACTACTTTTAAATAAGTTCTTTGAAGAACTAAGTAAGTAATTTGACTGGATTTAGGTATTACAAAATTTCTTTTGCTTTTTTGAACAAGTATCTAAAAATATAAGAGTGTTAAGTGTTTGACATAATTTAATGCCTCTGGAACATTTTCGTTCAACCTGAACGGTTTGCTATAAGAAGAAATGGTAATTTACAAATATTATTTGTTTATTTATTTGTTAATTACCGCATTTGTGTAATCAAAGCACTTTGACACGTTTTAATTGTCGCAAAAATTGCTTAAGTGCTGTCACGAAAATTAGATGTTAAAAGGTAATTTACCCAAACAAAGGAATAGAAATGAATACATAAATACAATTTAAATGTACTAAAAATGTATTACAGCTTTACTAAAATTTCATTTTGAATTATTCCCACGACTTATTATTTGATTTATTTATATAATTTTTAGTTACATGAACACAGTTGAACTTGTATTACATGAACCATACACTTTCAATCAGCAACTATTTTGCATGTCCAAAATACAAGAATACTATTTCTAATTGGTTTTCTTATAGAACGGCGTTCCAAAAAAATTTATTTGTAATCCTAACTTTATATAAAAATAGGAATATAAGAATTTCAAACTTAGTAATAACAAACTTACTAGAGAATGTTCAGTTCGTTCAATGTGGTCGGCGAAGTTCCACTGTGAAGAATTGTGGATTTGAAATTTGGATGTTGACTTTTCGAGACAGTCGACACTGAAGAAAGCGGCGAACGCCGGGAACATGACTTTTGGCGGAAAACATGACCCGCGAACTATTTGAAAAGGTCAGCGAAAACAAAAACAAACAGAGTGGTTAGCCGGCGTCTCTGGGGAAGAAGACCTTGCCCAAAGTCAAGTGCATTGGGGTCCGAGCTGGGCGAGATGATATAAAGAATGCTGTGGGGCATTCTGTGGCTAGTAGCCAGCAAGGCAGATAACCGAGAAGATCTAACCGAGATGCGGCACCCAACAGCTATGATAGCCCCCATTGTGGGCCTGGTACTCGTGACCCTCGCGACCCTCGTCCACTCCGCTCCCGTGGAGGTCGTCTACACGGGCGAGAGCTGCGCCTGTCCCACCCAGCTGGGCTACCAACTCAACGTGCCCAATCCCCCCAAGCCCAAGAAGTATGCGGGCGGCGAGTACGGCTATCGGGTGGAGAAGCCCGTCCAGACCAAGGCCAAGATCAGCTACAGCTTCGACTTCACCGTGGAGCAGCCCAGGACATCGGCTCCGCCCAAGACCAATCCCTCCAAGCTGTACGCCAAGGTGGATCGGATCACAGTCAACAAGGCGGGTAAGTGTCAGAGTCTAAGTTTAAATCGCAAAAACTCTCTTAGGCGGACAGCTCTCTCTTAAGCGGACAGCATCCTGGAACCTTAAAGTCTTCTAGATCAACCAGCTTTCCAAGCTCTGGATGATATATTTCCATTTTAAATTATTTGTTAAATACTGAATTAAATTGTTAGATCCAAATTCTCAATTTGCCTAAAATCTGTTGAGCGGACAGATCGCTCTAGAGTGGATTTTTAGATCAGACCTTAGTCTTTAAATATCCTGAGGTCAAAAATATGTCTACGCTATTAAACATTTTTGTTTTTTAACATTTGAATGATAATAAGCTATTTGTCTTACATTACTTCTATAAAAATCCACAAATTTATTTAATCTTTTCCAGATTGCCAGGCCAAGAACAAGTCCACCTGCAGCTGCTCGAGTTGCTCCAGCCAAAAGCACAGGTACGTAGCTCCACCGGTCAGGTCGCCGAACGCCATCCGTCGTCGCCGGGATCTCCGGCCACCAGGTTCGCTGATCCGCCGGCGGATGATGCGCCAACAACAGCTCCAGGAACGTCCACCGCGCTTTGTGAAGTTCTACCACAAGGATCTGACTCCTGCCCAACAGAAGCAGCAGCTCAAGCTCTTTGGCCTGATCCCAGTGGAATCCCCGCAGCCAGTGGCCGCCGCACCCAAGTCCAAGAGGAAGACCAAGAAAACCCAGCCGAGCTGGATGGGATTGGGTCGCCGTTTGAGAAAGCGAGATATCAAGGGGGAGTACGATCTCCTCGAGCAGGAGCGCTCCCAAATAGATCTCACCGCCCCGGAGATAATCCAGTTCATGCCGGAGACCCTGAATCCGGACTTTAAGCCGGGCCAGTGCCACATGGGCTGTGGAGCGATGACAGCGGCGGCACCGCCACCAGAAGAGTCGCTGCCAAAGGTGGAGCAAGTGCCTCAAATGAGGCAAATGGAGCAAGTGCCTCAATTGGGGCAAATGGAGCAAGTGCCTCAAATGGGACAAATGGAGCAACAGGAACCAGTTGAGCAGCAAAATACGATCCCATCCAAGAGGGCCGCCTTTGGCTACTATCCCCTGCAGATTCCCTCCCCGCTGAATCATCAAGAGGAGTACAAGTTCGTGGACGACTCACAGCTGAGGAGCCTCCTGTCCACCACCTCCGTGCCGGATCCGCAGGAGTACAGCTCCACGCCGCTGCAGTTTGCAGGGGATTTGGAGTCGGTCACGAGGCGATCCTATGGCGCACCACTTCTGGGTCTCGGCGGCGGCTATCCCGTGGAGCACGTCTCCGACTCCCAACTGGACAGCATCATCTCCGGGATAGTGTACAATCACCCGGCCTACGATCACCACTACTCCACCGAGGGCAGCCTGGTGGATCCGGAGCCCGTGCAAAAGCAGCAGACCACGGATTTCCTCAAGAAACTAATCGATGGCCGCCTGGGCGGCTGGGGATTCGACCAGGGCGCGGAGCCGGAACACAGTCTGCGGGAGGATTACGCCAGACAGCCGGCCCACACCTATGGCTACAAAAGCCACACCCAGAATGGCTACAGTGTGGACACCTATAGTGCGCCGCCAATCACGGATTACCTGAGGGCCTGGTTCTAGACCCCCCAAAAACGAAACCTATCTTTAGTACTTAGAAAACTAAAAAACCATAAACCAAAAAAAAACAGAATATAATAAATTGAAAAAACATTGTGGTTGTTTCTTTCCCCATTCACCCACCGTCTTCGTCTTTCTTCTCTTTGCAGTTGCGGCGAAGACGCGGGCTACAACTACTGAAGAGAGGTCTTACGAATAACGAATCATAATCAAAATCCAAAACCATAGCCAAAACCCAGCCCGAAAACCAACCCAACCCAACCCATCGATCTGCTGAGCTCGGCTTAAAATCCAGCCGAAAGTAGGCCAGTGGAGCACTCTGCTTTCGGGTCTCCATTCGCTTGTATATATAGCTATGTGAATATGTACTATAGTTTCCATCGGCGATTCCAACCTCCGATTTCTGTTTACGTTTTCCGCTTTTGTCGGCACTCCAAGAAGTTGCCCCATTTAACAGGTTAATAAAGAGTTTACTTGAACAAAAATGCTCGATTCGATGACTTTGGGTTCCAATGGTGCACATTCAACGCAGGGAGTGATTTATTTGGGACTATATGATACCCCTAAAAGTATACCCCGACATTTCTGTTACTATCTCAGCTTTTTAATCTTATTTCAATTTCTACTGGGCACTATTCTGGATGTGAAAAGAATATGTTAAGTTTTTAAAATTGTTTATTAATGTACCAGTTATAAAGCTTGTAAAAACGATGTTCATATTAGATATTCATTTATTTGAAAAATCATTAAAAACACGTTTTTAATCTTCAAATGTCTATTAAGTGTCTCAACAAAACAGTTTAAGAAAAACAACACGGATTGTTTAAAACAAAAATTCAAAATATCAGTATAACTTGAAAGAAATGAAAACATAAATAAAGGATATTCAGTAAATGGACTGTAATAAATCTTAAATTCACACTGTGAACACGTGATTTTGAAATAAAAAAAGAGTATTTCCAAAACATGAATTTTTGGTCTTAAATTTAAGATATCTTTAATAAAGTTTTTACTACCAGCGAAAAATGGTTTTCGCTTATATACCCAGATTTATCACGACCTGTCAATGGCTGAATATTTGTTGACATTACTTGTTGTTTTATTCAAAAAAATAATTCATCATTCACCGACGAAATTCTTGCAATCGCATACCATCGAAAAGCCAAAACATACTCGTAGATATATTACAAAAGCGGCAAAAACGCCTTAAGTTTCGTGACCACAAAAGCAATACATTTCTAGAAGAGTTCGCAAAACTCGCGAAAAACTTGGGAAGTAAATAGTAATAATAAACGCTATTGAATGGTCAAAGAGTAAATTAACTATGAGTTAAAAAAAATGTAATTTAAATACCTAATAGTGTATTGTGAAAAGTAAAGATAAAGTAAGATATTTACAATTTGGAAATACTTATTTAGATTGCATCATCAACATAACTTTGTTTAATTTACTTTACTTGGATTTTTCAGTTTCAAAATATAACTATATTGTCCTCTCTCTTGTTCAAGCTACTCTAAATTACTATTATTGGTGAATGTGTACCCTAAAATAAACGATCTCAATGCATAAATGTGATCTAACACAATAAAATAAATTTTGTGTGTATTTCAGACACAAAGATATTGTTTCATATCATACTTTAGACAAAATTATAGACTATAGGGTTACTTTAAGTTTACATTTCCCATAAATTAAATAGTTTCGAATCTTGGAACTCTTGTATGAGCTTTTCTAGAATATTCAAGATTTAGATACGATATGACTCGTATTTCGACATGTCAACAATGTTTAACAGCATCCAATTAATGGCACATACACCCAAAGTTACCCCACCAGAAGACTGAAACAATCATTCCGAACCCATTGAGTAGAGCAAAAGAATTCAAATGACCCTGACAAATGAGCATTCTTTCTCTTTTTCCCCCTGACGCATCAAGATCGCTGGAGATTCGTGGATGAGACATCTAGTGAATTTGGCATATCTGGTTATAGATCACGTCCCGGCACGTATTTTTTTTGTTTGCGAATCGAGCTTCAGTTGGGGGTATTTAAGTGGAATCCATGGGACCCGGGGGCCTCAGTCGAAATGGCAACCGACGGCAGTTGGCCTATACTGCTTCTGTTGCTCACAGCACTGGCCATCATTCAGGCAGAGGTGGGTCTTGAAAAAATATACACATTAAATAGGTATTTTATATAATAGATTTTGTTATTAGAACCTGAGTGAGTCCACGCCAAGCACTGAGGAGGATTATAATGGCAGCACTAGTCCGAGTCCGCCGCTGGAAGAGACCACCAATCGCTTGACAGCCCAGGTGGAACCCTTCAACAAGGTCGATGGTGGTCAGGAGCAGTACGATGTGATCGATGTGATGGCCTCCACGGGCACGGTGGCGGGCAAGCAGAAGAGTGGCCAGACCACTAGGATCTACACCACCGGCGACGTGGACGATAGGTTCTGGCTGAAGCACCTCGGCGAGGACTTCAAGCATGCCATCCATCTGCAGGTGGGCGGCACCAACGAGGAATACAACCGCCTGATCAACCAGACCAACCAGAATGGTGTCCACGAGGAGGTGCATCACGAGTACTTGCCGGGTGCTGAGAGACCTGGCAGTGGAGCTCCTCCACCGCATCCTCTTCCTCCTGCTCGCCAATCCCGACCAGCTTATCGCCAGGGTTTCGACAACCGAGCCATGGCCATGAAGCAGCAGTATCTCATCAACCAGCAGACCCAGCAGTCACATCCTTCCCAGCAGCGATACAATTATGCCCACCAGCACACACAACACTATGCACAACCTGCGGCACAACAACACACCCATCAATACCCACAACAAACACCACACAGAAACACCTACACAAAGCCACAGAGCTACAAGCCCCAGAGCTACATCATCAACTCTAGCGAGGACCAGCTGCACGCCGCCCAATCGAACACGGCGCCAGTGCGATCTGGTGGAGGAGATCCACCCAAATACGAGGAGGAGGTGGACTCCTTTGGCTCCCAGCTCAACTTCAAGTCGCCCTTCAACGACTACGGCAGTCGACCCACGCGAGATCTCACCTATCTACTCTTCAAACGGGGTCTCTGAAATGGGAATGCCACTTTGCTAAACATAAGACTTGCGGTCCCCAGTCCATTGAGTTCTATAAATGGGGCTGAGCCACACCCACCCACAGCACACACTCCACACACACACACACAACACAAACCACACAAACACTGAGATTAAGGGAATTACTACAACTAATAAACAGAAAAAATAAATCAAAAGTGGTTGTGTTTGGATTTAAAAACGATAAGATCATTTTAGCTTATCAAAAAAACAAAAACATTTTCAGTGACTCAATAATATTAATTTTAATAAATTGGTTGCATAACTTAAAAAGCTTCAAATTACTCAACCATTATTATTAACATTTTTGTATCAAGTAAAAAAGCCTGATACTTTTATTAATGAAAACATCTTCGAAGATCTCAACTATTCGTAAAATGTTTTAAATACATATTTTAAAATTGAGACGAAAATATCCACCTAAAAATTGTAAGTTTTTATCTAAGCAATACTTTGTATACTGCTAAAGATTAAGCAAAGTTATACATATAAGGAACTATTAAAATATATTTATAACTAAAACTGAAACCAAATATGTATTCATGTAAAATACGATTGACTGAAGTTCATTAATAAATAAAACACTGAAAACTAATTTTTTTTTTGCCCAAAGTTAATCCAATGGTAATAAACAGAATAAAAAAAGTAGAAGGATTCTGTGGAACTCACATTAATTGATCTTTCAAATTTAAGCAGGTCGTCACACAAGTGGAATTACCTTTTTTAAAAACAGGTTGTCGCAATCACTGAAACTTGAACAATAGGGAAATTAAGACTAAGTAATCTGCCAAACTACATAACCTATTTATACTTATACTTACATACCATATATCTGTATTTTATCTGTAATATCTCACTCGGAACTCTTTATTGAGTTTATCAGATTATGTAGATTTTATTTAGAGTATCTCAAGTTTAAATTGTTATCAGTTCAAAGAGAAATTCAAAATAACTTTAACTAAAATATATCAGCCAGAGAAATAGTTCAAAAGAAGAAGAGAAGATCTAAAGATTTGTAAGACCTTTTTGTACATTTCTAGAAACAATTCAAATCTAAAGACAATATTAGAGAGTTTATCAAACTTTAAGCAACTCATGAGTATTTCCATCAAAAAGTTTAAAAATATCATTGAAATCTAATTTTAAAGAGAATATCTTTTGTGAATCAAAAAGTGTTTCAGAGAGACTATCAAAAGCCACTCCCTGAAATGCGACAATCCGTAAGTCTTCCGAAGAGAATAGCTCCGTGAAGAACCCCTGAACCGAGATTCGGAGCGACTGCACCCGATCTTTGGGTCAATCGCTGGAAGAGCTATGAACTGTGATTCAAGCCAAGGCGACCGCCACAAATAGATGATTGCGACGGGCGGAAAGCAGACGACGGTGCTCTGGGGGTTAGGGTTAGGAGGTTGTCTTCAGATCTTCTGGGCACGATGGCGAGACAAAGATGCGGCGGCGCGAAATCGGAAATGGAGATGGATCACGTAGCCGGCCGTGGCGGGCAGCGATTATAGGCGCTATAAAGAGCCAGAGTCATCGGCAGACAGCGAGCAGTAGACGATCCACACGTAAACGGCAACATGCAACTCGGTCTCTGGTTTGGCATTTTAGCCATCGCCGCCGCGCCGGTTAGTAGCCAGGTCTCATCCATGGCGGCCACATTGCATCTAACTAACCTGCGTCCATTTCTCTATCTCCCACCCCACCCTCTTCCTCCTCCAGCTGGTGAGCGCTAATTATGGTCCCCCTGGCGGACATGGACACGGACACGGACATGGACAGTACCTATCCGGTCCCAATGCCGGACTCGAGGAGTACGTGAATGTGGCGACGGGCGGAAACCAGCCGGCTGCCAACCAGATCGCCTCCCAGGCCGAGATCCAGCCCTCGCAGGAGGAGGCTCGTCGTCTGGGTCGCGTCCAGGCGCAACTCCAGGCCCTGAACGCCGATCCCAACTACCAGAAGCTGAAGAACTCCGAGGACATTGCCGAGTCTCTGGCGGAGACCAATCTGGCCAGCAACATCCGGCAGGGCAAGATCAAGGTGGTGTCGCCGCAGTTCGTCGACCAGCACCTGTTCCGCTCCCTGCTGGTCCCCTCCGGTCACAACAACCACCAGGTGATCGCCACCCAGCCCCTGCCCCCCATCATTGTCCACCAGCCAGGTGCACCGCCAGCCCATGTGAACAGCGGCCCACCGACTGTGGTGCGTGGCAATCCGGTGATCTACAAGATCAAGCCTTCGGTGATCTACCAGCAGGAGGTGATCAACAAGGTGCCCACGCCGCTGAGCCTCAATCCCGTCTACGTGAAGGTCTACAAGCCGGGCAAGAAGATCGAGGCGCCGCTGGCCCCAGTGGTGGCCCCCGTCTACAGCCAACCCCGGGAGTACAGCCAGCCCCAGGGCTATGGCAATGCCGGATCGGCCGCTTCCGCCGCCGGTGCCGCCTCCTCCGCCGATGGCAATGGCTACGGCAACGAGGCCCCACTGTACAACAGCCCCGCCCCCTACGGCCAGCCCAACTACTAGGTGCTCCTCCCGGCCACCTGGACTGGGTCTCCTGGCTCCTTCTCAGCTGCGACAGCTGGTTTAATTTAAATTTTTGTTTTTTTTTTCTTTGCCAATTGCTGAGTGCAAATAAAAAATGATAAAATTACCTAAAACGTAAACGATTCGTGGAAATTATTTTGGTGGTGAAGAAGGGGGTTGCAAAGTGTTTACAAAGCTATTATTCAGACATGTCATCATAAATATATATAGCAAACATGAAAACGATACTTTAAACTTATTCAAGGCTTAACTTGAAGTTTGAGATAGCAAACTCCGTAGTGTAACTATATTATTACTTAATGGTATCATCAAACTTATCAAGGCGTTACTTTAAGTTTATGTCATCAATAAACTGAATACATAATAAATACTTTAACCTTCCCATCTAAACATACTGCCATTCGGAAATAAAAAAAATAGGTCATAACGCAAAGAATACAAGAATTAGACCGTGAACTTTTAGAGATATCCGATTTAAAGAGGTCAAGTTATCGACACAGAAATTTAGGATTCACATTACTATAGTCTTATTTATTTATTTCGAAATCCATTATTTTTATCAATAAGATATTCCAGAAAAAGTATTTTATAGATATGATCAGTATCTTTTATATATTTTACGAAATATCATTTTATAGATATTAAATATCAATATCTTGAATGAAATTATTTTACACACTTGTGATCGTATGTTAACTCAATTTATCATTAAGATAAATAATGGGTCAAATTTATCAACTCGCTTTTTATTATATTTTTAAATGTACAAATATAACAAATCTTTCATTCTGAAGTCCAAAAGTAAAATTATTTAAAATTGTCTATTCAAAATATGTCACTGACAAAAACACAAAGAACTTATCAACTTTTAAACTTTTTTTTTTTTTATTAAATTTATGTTATGGCAGAGTCTTGAATCCACATTAAATTAAATAAAAATAAATATTAAAGATTTATGAAATGCACTTTCTATATTAATATAAATAAATTTCACAATTGAAAGGCCATTCAAAGGGTCAGAGGGATAAACTTGAAGTTTTTATAAAACTTTAAGAGTTTATAAAGTGGTTGTTTTGGCACAAAAATTGAAACGGATTTCTCTAAACAAGAAATCAAAGAATCCTCTTAAAACTCTCAGTTATTCAACTACCTATTAAAGGATATCTTATGCCAACCATCCCATAAACCACTTTTACTCACTTTAATCTTTAAAAATCATATTAAATTCTAGGATTGTCGACAGCCACCTGCTTGGTGACTTGCGAATCTGTGGAAATCATGTTTTCCTATCCAACTAGCACTCGGTTTCTCTCTTTCTGACTCTCGGGTCTTATGTCTGCCAATGCGGAACTATTTTCGCTATCTGCACAGACGTTCGGACCTCGATATGCGGTGGAGATTCAAAGCCCGGCTGTTGATATACACTTATTGCTATTGTAATGGCCACTGGCCACTGGGTTTTTGGGTTGTGGCTTCTACGTAAGTGGAAGAGACGCCGTGATATGCGCTGGCCGCGATGCGTGCGATCTATCAACATTTGGCCATGTTTCGCTCGCATCGCGTGGGCCCGGAGCGGAACAGCCGGCACCGGAGTCGCCATCAATCCAAATGTCACGTAGCCGGAGCCGGAGACGCGTCCGGAGCATATTTAAAGTAGTCGGCCACCAATGGAGGGCAGCAGAAGACAGCAGACAGTCCAAGCGGGAGCACACCAGACGCCGAAGAGCAACTGGAACTGCAACTTGGAGACAAGATGACGAGATCGACCTACATTTGGGCGCTAGCCGCCTGCCTGATCGTAAGTGTTAACGCTCGAAGCTCAGGATTATTCCCAGCGGAGTTCTAAAAGTCCCCCCTTTTGTTCTCTCAATACTCGGATTATTTCAAGATCCATAGAGGATTTTGTTAAATGTCAGTTTTAGATGATTGGGTACTTCATCCTTTCTTGGTTCTCTAAATCGGAGCTTATTTCCGGAGAAGAATTGTTAAAGCATTTTACTTCTTCATATAATATTTTCCTATAAACATCTTTACCCTTTCTTTATAAGAAGTCAATTTTTCTTTTTTATATATTCAATTTCGCCACTTTACCCCTTTTTCCCCAGTTTAATTTTTTTTGATACCACTTTTCATCACTGTCTAGAATCTTAGAACAGCAACTTCTATTTTGTAGAGTTATTATTTTTATGAACCTCTTAAAACTATCTAAGCTAGGAACTTTTAAAGATTCAAAGCTTGCAATTTAATAAGTTTTTAACCTTATGTTGTCAGCAACATTGTTACTTTTATAATCAGTTTCCAAACCTTTAATTAACCATATCAAAAGTATGGCCATTTGTAACCCATTTCCTTCTCATTTTGCAGGCCTGTGCGAGCGCCAATTACGGCGGTCCCCAGGGCTATGGACCCGTATCCGGTGGCCATGGCGGTGGCTCCGATGGAGGTGCCGATGCCGCCTCGGCGGCCGCAGCTGCTGCCGGTGGTGCCGGTGGAGCTGGTGGCGAGTTCGGTGGTGCTGGTGCCGGTGCCGGTGCTCTGGAATCCGGAGCCGATGCCGCCGGTGTGGCCCAGGCTGGCCAGAGCAGCTACGGCTCGGACCAGAACATCCCCTACAAGCCGGTCAACACCAAGGGCAACACCCTCACCTCGTCGATCACCTACCCGCAGAACAAGGGCGAGATCCTGATCCATCGCCCCGCCCCCATCATTGTGAAGCGTCCGCCCACCAAGGTGCTGGTCAACCATCCCCCACTGGTGGTGAAGCCCGCTCCCGTGGTGCTCCACAAGCCCCCAGCAATCGTGCTCCGCAAGGTCTACGTCAAGCATCACCCACGTCGCGTCAAGGTTGAGCCCGTGTTCGTCAATGTGGTGAAGCCGCCAGCAGAGAAGTACTTCGTGAACGAGAACAAGCAGGGCTACGGCCAGGGCTCGCAGTCCCATGGACATGGACACGGCGGACACGGACACGGTCACGGCGGTCACGGACATGGTGGACACGGTGCCGGTCCCCATGGTCCCGGTCAGCATGACGGTGGTCGTGCCCTGCCCGCCTACGCTTCGGGAGCTGACTCCGCCGCCGCCAGTGCCGGCTATCAGCTGCTCCAGAGCGGCAACCAGGGTCTGTCCGCCCTCGCCAACATTGCCGGCGAACGTGAGGGTCCCTATGGATCCGGACCGAGCCACGGACATCAGCACTACAGCGCTGGTCCGGCCGGACATGGCGGCTATGCTCCTTCCTCTTACTAAATTAAGATGCGGAGTCACGGATCAGGTGACTGCTGCTGCTCCGGAATCCCCTGAAGCGTCTGTCCAGTCACTTGGTTATCCGGCCGATTAGTTACTATGTTTTAAACCAAAAAAAAACACAGCCTGATCGCCCAACGCCCATGCCTACGCCCACGCCCACTCATGCACACCAATCCGCACCCAACTCCACCAACCCATTCAACGGCCAAGGGGGCGTGGCACTCAGGTTTCTTTGCAAACAAATAAAAAAATTTGAAAAAAAAAAATATACTTAAATGATGGGGTATTTTCAAGGGTTAAATGGAAAATACAGGTTTTATTGGAGTTCCACTATAGACCTTAACACAAGGTATTGTTATTTTCGAACACTCTTTCGGCATTAAATACTGTCGAAATTCTAAAGATGTATTTCTACCACATATTGCCCTTCAAAACTAATTCAACAAATTCTATTCACGCAAATGAGTAAATCTTTTTTATATCAGTATCTCATTACAAATGGGACATTATTATGGGACAAGAAATATCTGATATATGGGATACGCAATATCGGATATTATGGGACACGAAATATCGGATATTAAAGGACAAGAAATATCTTTGTTTTAAGATAAAAGTAGTGACATGACTTACCGAGAAATTTGTTCGATGTTCTTAAGCAATGTCGACCAATTCGAGTTAGGGAGCTTGAGGTGACCAAAACGTGTCGCATGTAATCACACAAATTGGAAGTGCGAGCTGTCGTTACACACATCGGTTGGTTGTCCTTCCCATTGTTCTGGCGATCGTATCGAGTCCCACGCAACTTTCAATAACAAACAAACAGCAACAACAGCGGTAATAATAGGTAGGTTGATGACAGGTGAAATCGCAATGTAGGTCGCCCAGTGCCGCCCATTTGGCAGTTTGAAAATTCAGCATAAAAATGCGACACTTCTGCACAGCGATTTCAGTCTGTAAGCAGAAATAAATTGAGAGCATTAATAAAATAACCAAGTAAACAAAATTAATAAAGCCAACAAAAACGAATCGGTTCCAAGATCAAAGCTTTTGGGCACAGTTTAAAAAGAAAAAAATCAAGAACAAAATGAGTCAAGTGTGGTTCCTTATGATGGTTTTGTGCTTTGCACTCCTTGCTTTTTGCTCTGGACAAGTAAATATCTCTAGTATTAACGCATTTACAATTTAAACAGAAACAAGACAAATAACAAAGTAATTCTTATGTAGGGTGTCACAGAAAATCCGGATAACCGAAATTGTCACAGAAATATATATTGTTTGTATGAAGATTCTTGAATCAGGTACGTCTACGAGAAATCTTAAATCTAACTTTATAGGGAAAGATAACTAAACCAAAACATAATAAATAAATATCTGAAAATTTCGTGCTGACCGACATATTTCTGTAACACACCTTAATTTAACTATATAGGGCAAAGATAAATAACCCAAAAACTTTATAAATAAATATTTAAAAAACTTTCGGGCAGACCGACATATTTCTGTGATACCCTAGTGTTCTATCTATATCATATTGATAGATTATTAATATTTTGTGGAACTTTAACGCAATCATTTGCCTGTTTCTAATATAATTTTTAAAAGTTTACCATATAGCTACTAACATTATTTAATTATAATTTAGTAAGCTTTAAGTTTTAACAATATATAACCGGTATGTAATAAATAAATAATTTAATTATTTTTCTTTCTTCCAATTAGCCCTCCTATAAACGAACGACGGAAGCCACCATGGATGCCTTGCACACCTTATCTCAGCTTTTCTTAAGCTTTCTTGATAGTTTCAGCCTGGGTTAGTTTTAACAAAGGTGTTTCCTTATAACTAAACCTAAAATGAATTAAGCTTAACCTATTTTGAAAGTCCGGATTTCTAAAATATGTGTGGGTGATAAGTAAAATCTTGTCTCTTTTATAAATTGTTTTTTTTTTGTTACTAAGCACTAATTTGTTATTTGTTAAACATACAATAAATAAAATAACTTTATAAACTAAACCTTGGTTTTTTCTTTAACTGGGAAAATGAAAAACGTTTAATTATTACAGATGGTAAATAAAAGTGCAAATTTTAAAACACACTATGTTAAAATTATGTAATTTTTTAAAAGTCAATTAAAGGATATAATCTCAGTTGTCCATCTTAAATAAGATCTGCATTGAATCACGCTTACGAGGTGAATCAACGTTTACTATCTGAAATCGCGTCGAAACACGAGAATACCACGTAATTGCAGCAATTGCAAGTCTTTCTTGTATTTTGTCTTTTGCGTTACAATCGGATCTTGTTTTATTTATGGTTAATTTTCTGGTACACTTTACACGGGTGAGTCTCTAGCCGAACAGCGAGTATATAAATATATAGGAGTATATATAGAGTAAGTGTTAGTTTTAAGGTTTTTAAATAAATCATATAAATAGGTTGTTCTTTGTTTTCTTGCAGGCTACCTTCACCGACTTTGGTGCAAGTGTTAAAAAAATCGCATAAAATTACGTTAAATTACAAGATTAAAATGAAGTTTAGTTGACATTTGCGTTAAATTATGCAATCGATAGTTGTACAGAAGCTGAATGGTAAATGGAGGAGCGACACCGAGCAGGTGGCTTATAAAAAGTTGACTACAAATTTAAAAGTGAGATTAAATTTTAAAAGTCGTTGATTGGAATGGAATGCACTCGAGGGAATGGCCTCTCTCTTCGAAGTGATCTTATTGTTTCCCCGTTTTAGTGATGACGCGGTGCAGCATAGACGGCTGCTGGCTGGGATTGGACGGGCAAGGGCGGTGCCTGCTGTTGCTGTGGCTGTGCCGGCGGCTCCATGTTAAAGTTGTTGATCACCTCGTAGGGGGCCACCAGAGGAGCTGCCATGCCCCAGGCATAGGGATTCTGGAAAATGGGTTTTAAAGGTTTCTAGAGAACGGGTAAATAACATAAAGTAAGGCCTTAAAACAAATTGTTATACAAATGAATTAAATTACTTTATAAATACTAAAATATAACCTAAAAACCTCTCTTTTACACAAAATCTAGCCGAATTATACAAGATTATAATATATCCTCATACCTGTCCTGCAGCTGTTCCCGGTAATTGAGGCGGTCCAGCCTTGTGGAAAAATATCGGTGGTGGTGGCGGTTGGAGCAAACGCTGTGGCGACATCAGATGATGCGGCGGTGGCGAAGTGTAGAAACTGAACTGACTGCCACTCGTGCTAGGGGAGGGTGTGGGCGTGGGCAAAAAGGCCGCTGGGCCCAGAGGATCCTTCAGATCATGCAGCTGCTCCGGCCGTTTACCACGTGCTTTGCCCGGATTCATTTGGCGCTTGGAAAAGGCTGCTTTCTCCAGCGGCGGCTGATCCGCGGCACTTCCAGCCTCAGGCGAGGGTGGCGGTGTGGCCTCGGCCGCCAAATGGTCCTCTCCGGCGCCACTTCTTCCCGGCTGTTGGTCCGTGTTGTTCTGGTGATTGTATCCAAATACCGATACATCCTCGGGCGGCGCTTGGTGGGCCATGCGCCAATGCATGTCCACGCCCATGTTGTAGAAGTATCTTAAAGTGCTCACATCGACTGGCAAATCCTCACCGTTCAGGTGAAGGGAACGACGTGGTTCGGGTACCCCGGGAACATTCAGCGGCGGTGGAGGAAGAGGCATGAATGGGTGTGGACCCGGCAAAGCAAGAGCTCCTGGTGGTGGAGGACCATAACCACCAAAGGGCATGTAAACACAACCTTCAGCTGGCGGAGGATGCGGTGGTCCCGGCATGTGAAATGGAAACTCCTCGGAAAGAGCCAGCGGAGACGAGGGCCACGCAGGGGGAGGCTGGCCAGGACGACCTGCCAATAGGGGCAAATAGTTCATATATTGAGCGGGCGGCGGAGCAGCTGAAATCGGAGACTCCTGGTTTTGGTTGGAATTCGAGTTCACCCGCTGAGGCTTCGTTCCCTTCGAGCGCTGCTGCTGCTGTTTCTGCGGATCCTCGCGTTCCCTCTGCTCCTCGACCGGATTCTGGTCATGCTGATCAGGATCCCTTTGATGGCGCTGCTCCTCCTCCTGGTGGTGGTGAACCTCTTGATAGCAATTCTCCATGGGTATGTAGCCTTGCATTGGCATCAAATCACACTTGCTGGGCTCGAAGTATTGCCCCATTTCGAAAACCTTGTTCTTCTTCCATTTCGAAATCTTGTTTGATTTGCCGACGAACTTGGGCAACGTCACACGGTTCATCTGGCGCTGATAGCGGAATGGCAACGCCCACGGACGGTACTCTTCTGGAGGCAGCGGATGCATCGACTCGTAGGGAACCTGGACCAGTAAGAAATATTAGTAAGCTTTTTTGATGGGACAAGCTGCTTATAAGCTAACACCAAAGAAAGACTAGCTTCGGATACCGAAACTGGAAGCACCCTTGCAGATAAAGCTTGTTTTCAGAAATATACCCAAACCGAATAAATGTTCTTCGAGTATTTTCTTTCCACTGCTTTTAAATACTTCGTATTTCCAAGAAATGTAAATCTAAAAAAATTGCGTTCTTATAATAAAAGCTTCCCATCATATCGTTGGGAAATGGAATCGGACAATTAAAAATCTTATATTTGTATTATATATTTCTGAAACATTATTATTTAACCTACAAATTAGTGTAAGCTTCAGAGGTAAATAAAAACTAAAAGATTATTTTGTAACAATCCTAAAATATCTAATCTAAATCTGACCCGCTTTTCACGGATTTTAAATAAGCTTAAATCTACGGCTCTGCAAGGGTATAAAAAACAGGTAAGAAAAGCGGTACCCATAGCTTCTTGCCAAGCATCTCTGCAAAGACGATGCAGTAGGTCTTGTCTTTGGAGATGCTTTGAATGTAGCACGTGTACATCTCCGATTCGTGCTCCAATTCCACTTTGCACTTGGCGCCCACCTGGAAAACAAACCACACGACAACGAGACGAGCAAGAATAAAAGCTGGACATATACTAAAGTGTAAAGTGTGGCGAGTGTGAAGATGGAAATGAAAGTGTTTGAAGTCTGATGGGTTGACATGAAACATGCGTATGTTTGGTAAACGATCATACAAATTCCTCCCGAATTTACCTTAAAGTTATAGTCATTGACGTATACATTATAGCGTTTGGCCTCCTTGCGTATATCGTTCCAGCAATCAAATTCGATATTCCGATACATATAGGGGTCCATGGACTTGGCCACTTTATAGGGAAACGGTGTGATGCCTGAAAAGCAAAAGAAGAAGTGATTAGAACAATTTTATAATGAACTTGAAGTCTTGCAATGCTTAAACCTCTCTACTGACCATCATCCAGAAGTTGGCGTACACAGGACTCCAATCGGTTGGGACACATGGGCAGTTGGTCGTTTGGTTCGTGGCCTTGCAGTTTCCGATCATCCTGCTGTTTCGATTCCCTTCGGCCTCCCTTTCGACTATTATTGCTTTGACTGCCATTGGTGCTATGGAAATTGCACAGCATAAAGTTCTCCAATATGCAGTTGGTATTCTCCGGCAGGTCCAGCGTAAAAGAGCGACCGTCGGAGCACTGAATGCGAACCATATAGCCCTGGTCATTGAACTGCACATCGAACTTATCCCAATCGAAAGAGTGTGGATGCAACATGATCTCCACGGCGAACGATACGTCGGGCAGTTTGAACAGCTGTTGATACAGCAACTTAAAGGCGATCGCTGGTAATACACAAATAACCATATATAGCAAATACTTGACATCAATAGGCAAACACCTACACTGACAAATGGCGGCAGTTTCTATATAGTCCACTTTATAGACCGAATCAAAGTGATTCTCGTTGTTGAAGAAGACCCGAAAGTTTTCCGGATAGCGACGGTTAAAAATTACGCTGGTTCCCATGTTGTAAGGCTCATACAGAATCACATTGCGTCTATAAAAATGTAAGGTAATGAGAAAAGTTGTAGGGGGTTTGTGCAAGCTCTTAACGTTATAAGTATTGGATGATAACATTTACCGATACAGGCAGGACATTGCGCGCAGTTCTGTCATGGTGCCATAGGTCTTGGGCTTGGACATGTCCTGCATGTAGCTATCAAAATCGCCCGGAATGTCCTGGTGAATATAAAAAGTATGAAGGTCTAAATTAATATTAGTTATTCTACAATAGTGTCATCAGAAAGAGCCTAATAAACTTAATAATAATTTTATAAAGATGTTTCTGAATATTTGACTGATGGATTGTCGAAGAATTCCTGAATTAGGAGATTACAGACTCTCCCGAAAAGTATACAAATGTGGGTGGAGCCGCTACCTTCTCAAATATGCGTCGTTTTAGGGTCATGAAGCGAACACATTCCAGCCGGATTTCGTAGTGCAGCATCTGGGTATCGTACATTTGCTCGGCGATCACCCGGAACAAACTGGAGGCGTCCCGGGCAGTGTGCTTCCGGTAGAGCCCGCGGCTCTCCAAGTACTGGTCGTACGGATCCGGGGCCTGTCTGCTGCCGGACGTAATGGGGCGCTGTGTTTGCATGTCCATGGCGACTCCTAAAATAAATAAGAAACATAGTTGGTAAAAACAATTACACAATTTTAGGTTACGGTTAGGTTATTTTGGCATAGACGCCAAAGATCAAACTTTGTTAGTTCACCAGATCTCCGACTAGATTTCAAGTTATGTGTATATGCACATATGTACATATAACCAAATAGTAGAGATTTGTATTGTTTTAAGTAAACTTATTTGCCATATTTTAAGTTTTCAAGGGACAGTCCCACGAAAGATTAGAGTGAGATAGTCATAGTCAATCAAGGTCAAATTCAAAATGGCGGCGTGTGAGTCTCAACGTAGACAAAACCAAAGAGAAAAGCGATAGGTACCGCGGACAAAGAAAAATTAAATATTTGTTTTTAATGTTACTAAAACTTTTGATTCTGTCGGTTTTAAGTAATAAAATTAAATTGATATTTACTAAAATAAAAATAAAAGACTTAACTGATATTCTGGTTTCCGCTGTCCTCGAATTTGTCACTCACACTTTTAATAAATAATTAATAATTAACAACAGCTCCGCGACACACGCACTTAGCACCGTTACAAAGAAAAGAAATGAAGCAAGTGGCAATGATCTTACCTTCCAGAAAAAACCGCGAATTTGAATGGGAGCGGAATGTAGAAGAAGTTTCCAGTGGCTGGAAGGATTCTGTAAAAGGGAATAGAACAATAGTGATGTGCAAATCGTAGCGGTTCTCGAGTTTAGTGCGTGATATATTTAAATATATTCGAATTTAATAAAGTATAGTTATATTTTTAAATTAATGGGTTCGAGTATATTTATTTAACAAAAACAAGTGGACTAAAATAAGCTAAACGCTTACGTACATAAGGTTGCAAGGACATAATATCAATACGTCTTGTTTCCGGAATATTAAAACTTTAACATCAAAATTTAAACAAAATGAAATAGAATTTTATAACCAAAAGCCTAATCTCAAAGGCGGCGTTCCTGTCGCAATTTAAAATGCAATATTTTTTCGGCTAGAAAACTACCCTGTCGCTGTCTATCGATGACACCGATAGCCTCACCATCTGTTTTGTGTCATCCCCAAAAGCGCCAGACGTGTTTTAGAGTCGTTGTTGTTGTTGGCCCGCTTTTAAGGGGGTGGAAAATGCCGCTTTCCACACGACGCGTTGTTGTTGTTGCCTGTGGCGGCTCGTCTCAGTTCGAAATTGCGAGTCAATGAAGCCAGGAGTAAACTTCCAGTTCGCGCTGTTACCGCGACAAAAGTTGTCTGGAAGAGATGTGAGTGTGTGTCTTCTGTTCGCTTTTTTTTTGTGTTCCCATATTTGTTTATTGTTAGTAAATGTCGTTATTTGGTTATCTTGCGAGTGTGTAAACGAAACGACTATGATTTCTGTTCTCTCGGTGTTTCATCTACTTTACGCCATTGTCTTGTGTTTTTCCTCCTGCCACCCGACAAATAATAACAAAAATAATATATGAAAATCACTCATTAACAAAAACAACAACACGTGGGCTAAGTACACAAGCACATACATACAAACAACGGGACGGGTCCGTTATGAAATTGGAAGGAGTGCGCAAAAGGGAGGAGAAGAATGTGCAGTTATTTGATTTCCATGCCGTAAAAATCAATAGGAGTGACAAAGCACGTGTGCGATGGCAAATCGATAAACCATTAATCAAGTTTGTTGAACGCGTGTCGCTCCATTTGGCTCCAGCACCGCTTTGTTTGTGCTACCTCTCTTTCCCACGCCCATGTGAATGAAATTTGTTGGTCTTCCCTTTCTTTAATTCCACGATTTTCGATTAACTGGGTCAACTTGCCACTGACATAAATATTATTTTTTTTTTGTGATATTGGTTTGGCAAGTGTCGAGGTCAATGTCACGGGCCCTTTCGCAAAGTCGTCTGCTGACCTTCGAACTTTGCCTCGTTTTTGCCCACAATTAATTGATTAAACCCGGCCAATATATTGATGGGGTCTTATCAATATACCGCTTATACAACTATCCTGTTCTGGCGTCTATCTTATCGCCAAAAAGTGGGGCCTGAAACCGAAGTTGCCGGGTTTCCAGATAAGTGCTCCATTGTCCCCATCTCGCTCACTCGCTCGTAGGTCTTGCCATGTGTCGCTCAAACGCGACTTAACGCTTCAAATGATAAAAATCAGTGTTCTTGTTTCCGAAAACCTTCATTCACAGTCGAAAACATCTGACAAATAAAAAGTTTATTTTCATTTTCTTGCTACTTTAAAAATGTTTATCCCAAATCAAAACGACAGAAGATAAACTTAACCTAGGACCAAAATAAAAAGCTTAGTTGCTTCAATAGATTAATCAATGTATTAGTAAAAAGGTTATAGACTGGATTTTGTATTCTTTATTCCTGAAACAATTTTTTTCAAATATTTTAACATAAGTGGACTATAATCACTTCAGTTCAACACTTAATAACAAAGTACATTACGGATTAAGCTATAAAACATTTTTTGTTGACATGGAAAATTACAAAATATGTACACATTTTTCTACAATTAGTAAATCCATTTTCTTGAGTTTCCGAATATCAGAACAACTCGAAAGTTTCCTTCTGCTCTTCTTTTTCTGATGCGATTGTTTGCCGGTCGGCGGCAAAGAATATCTGTTTGCTGCTTTTAGTTGCCTTCGAACATTTTAGCTTGACGCGTCTTTGCTGAAAAAAAGGGGGAAAAAGGTACAGAATAGAGCAGAACCATCAGCCCAAACAAAACAAAGAGAATTTGCTGACGAAGAGAACCCAAAAACATTTTCCAAATGTGAATTGTGCATGTGAAATATCTTTTTTTTGTTTGGCCGCCGCGAACCGGTTATTTATTATCTCCACTCGATTGAACCGCACACAGTGGTGTACCCAAAGATTTGGATCACATATCTCTCAGTAAAGTGTCGGTTATTCGGACCACGAATGTGTTTTTATGGCAGTATTACACTTTGTAGGAGCTAGTAGATAATTGTTATCAGCCTAGTCGATTCCTTGTAGCTTGAACTACCATTTGCCACATCCGATCTCATAACTTCTTCGCTTACGAAATTTAATATGGTCTACTATTTTAAAGTGCATTATTCGAAAATCTTATTTTTGTGAAATTTCTTGATTACCTCAGAAAACCTCAATATCCGTCATATGATTTACTAAAAAAAATATGGGTATTTAAAAATAAAGTGTAATGCTGCCTTAATACTAATATTATTTTCTTTAATTTGACAATTCTGCTTTACTTAAATTCTTGCTTTTCCTTTGGTTTTCTTTTTACATATTTGCTTTGCCAATCGAATCGGTAAAATATCACTTACCACTTGTTGTTGTATCAGTCGAAAGATGCAGCCGATTAACAGTAGCGGCACCAACAGTGGCGGCGAGAAAAATGAGACCCGCATGCGCCGCAGGCCCATACGTAAGCTATTTTTGTCACCTAAACCGCCTTGTTTTTGTGCTTCTCCCTGATTAACATTAACACCCGCTTTTTAATCTATAGTTTTAAAATATTTCTTTAAACCTTATTATTTTGATTTTGCTTTTAATTTTAATTGTTGACACTACCACTACCTGTTACCTCACTAACTAATGCTAATCTATGATAGCAAAGAATAATCATTTGGACGTCCTATAAAACAACGTAACTTACGAAATCTAACTACTATATAATCACAATAAATACACTACAGAATTAAAGATATAAAATATTCGATCAATTCTGGTTTACATATTTTAACCCATTAAGAAATCCCAATTTGAATGCCTGAAATGGTAAATTTCACAGCTACCACTGTGAAATGTAATTTTAATCGCTACTAATTTTACAAAATAGAGACCTAGTGTCTCTCTCTTTGTTTGTCCCTTTTGTTTTATTTAAGTTTATTTTAGTTTATTTGTGTGCTTTGCTTTGACATCTTGTATTGCTTTTCCCATACTTTGCTGCACGCTATTTTTAGAGCGCAGTTAAATGCATTTCGCAGCAATTAATTTAATGCTAAGTATTAATTTTTGTTTGTTAGATTTTTACATTAATTGCATTATGCTAACAATTGGTTTTATTTAAGTGACCCTGAAAAGCAAAGTTTAAGGCCAACCTGCAAGCAGTGCGCTGTAAGCCCCGTGCCGTCGCACTGCTTTGCCCACATAGTTTACATATAACTTCTTGGTTGAGTTGGCCCGACTTCACTTGACTCCCGACTTATTGCCATTTGTTTATTTTGTGTAAACACGCCAGCGGTTATTTTTTTGTGTTTGTGCAATCGCTAGTTCGGCTGCAATTGCAATTTGCAATTGCACTTGCAGTTGCACTTTCATTGCCATTGCCAGATGACGAGGCTTAACGGTTCAGCGCCGTCAGCTGTTTATGCGGAGTTTAATCGATTGCATGTAAACCACAGTGGAGGTCAATCGTTTAGCATCGATAACTGAAGAAGCTTTTGTTTTGACCAACAATTATTATGAGCTTAATTTTAAGACAGATTGGTATAGCAATGGTATACGTATAGCAACAGCAGCGGTGTTAATGGGTTGGAATAGGGAATAGGTATTACAAATACTTTACGAGCTATCAACTCGACCGAAGCTGTATGGACAAAACACGTCATTCGAGCATTAGGCAACATAATCGATATCTTCTATTGCTTATGACTTGCCCAATGAATCGTGAATTGAATAACTTAACCTAGTAACATTTAATTTGCTATTGTTGAGGTTTTTGTTTGCGGCATTGTTTACAAACATTTTGAGTCCAGTTGCAGTTGCATTTGTTTTATATTTATTTATTTTCATTGCCGTTGTCGGCTTTTCTTCTCACCTTTTTTTTTAAAGGTAGCGGCGCATAACGGCTTTTTGAGTGCCCCGCGCATGAGCATTTAATCATTTTCGATTTATCGTTTACTGTCTTTGTTTACCCTTTTTGAGTGGCTTTTGGCCATTTCGAACTGTGGCTCAAGGGCTTACACGCGCCCACTTCCATAGATACATTTGCGATCGCAATATTTATGAATCAAATATATTTTTGACGAAGTTATATGAATTGGTGTATGGGTTAACACATTCTAAAAATTTAATAATTACAAATAACGCTCAAGTATTGATCTGAAAAAAATTAGGTTGTTTTATTTAAATTCAGTTGCATAAATCACTCTCTTCCTTATATAATTTTCATATAACAACATTAATGTTTAATAACAAAATATATTCAAGAGTCTCAGTGCCATTACTTTAACCTCATCTGTATATCCGGGGGTGCTTAATTTGAGTCTATTTGGCGGCGATTATGAGCAGCATTTTGCGTAGGTGTCGAGAGCTTTCTAGTCCCAAAGCGCTCGTTATGACGTCAGTGGTACTGCATCCATGATGGGTGGTAAACATTCCAGTCAATATTGGCATTAACACCTCATCTTTGGCTTCCATTTAACAGACAACGTCATTTGTTGTCTTTGCAACTATTCGGCAATTAGGACTTTACTGCAAATTGACTATGGGAAATAAATAAATTAATTGGGTCCGCTTCACCTCTCTAAGGCCATTAAAATTCTATTGATCTCGG